CTTCTTTTTCACCTTCCCGGAGGTTGAACGGCGAGGCAGGGATTTCGATGGATCCAGCATGGGCGACTGCGGCGGTTGCCCAGGGGCTGTATCTGCCCCTGGAGATAACACTGTAGCTTAAATCCTATTTAACTCTTTATTAGAAAAAGTCATTTTTTTACTTTTGTACATGTAAAATCTTTTAAAAACTAGAAACTAAAATCAAATAGAAGAACTTTAAAAAAATAAAAAATAATAATAAAGAGCACCTAGGGAAGACGAAAGAGTGGAAGAAAAAATCCAACTGTTTAGGAATTGGAAAAAAGTGCCTAAATGCGAAGCAAGTCATTTTAGAACACTACTTTGAGTAATTGATTGATGTGATATCTCTACAACAGAGTCTTTCAGTCAACTTTTCAGACTATTCTTCAAATGCTTGGCCCAGATTATAGGGTGAATGCTTTAAGAATTATTTAATGCCCTTGATTGTAAGCTTGCCGAAGTGACGCCTCAGAGGAGAAACCTCAACTGTTAAGATGAGGCAACCTGTGTTTTCATCCAATGGTAACTACTTCATTTTGGTTGAAACAGTCGCTCCATGTAAGATTGTGAATATACCTGAAAACAAAACCAACTTTTAATCGCTCCATAATCTGCAAAATGCCCCAATTTATTTTTCAATTAAAATTGATTAAAAACAGTGTACACATTATTTAAATGAGCCAGACATTTGCTCCATTAATTTTTTTCTTTATCCCTAAGTTTCCTAGAAACCTAAATTCCCAAATCACAGATTCACGATTCAAAATCACAATCACAATTCATAAATCAAAATTATAAGTCTCAACTCATAAATCACAAGTCACAAATTTAAAAAAAAAAAAAAACCTAAAATCATAGTCACAGTCTCATAGATAATTTATAGCCAGTAGCCAAGCCAACTAAGAAGTAGTAGTCTCTAACAAGTAGCAAATACCTTTTTCAGTTTTTCTCCCAGGCCCAGCACTCGAGTCCAACAGCATTGCTCTGTTCCAACTCCAAGTCCAAGCTCCAATCTACTGTCCACCTAGACTATCTCCACACCACAGTCCACCGCCTACCCGAATCTCCACCTCCACAGACCTGAGACCACAAACCAGCAGAGCTGCAGAAGTCACGAAGCTCGCCTTCCCAGTTCCCAGTTCGCCTGATTCGCCTCTCCCTCCTCCAGGTGATTTTGTTATGGCTTGTGGGTAATAGGCATTGGGTTAATGGTAAAGGAAATTGGAATTTAATGGGCAAGGTGTTTGGGCTTATAATTGGGCCTTATTTTTTAAAATAAAGGCCCAAACAATTACAAACAACAAGGAGGGAAAAAGAAAAAATAATTCAGGCGTACCGGCAGCAGCTCTTCTTCTTCTTCACCTTCCCGGCAGTTGAACGGCGAGGCAAGGATTTCGATGGATCCAGCATGGGCGACTGCGGCGGCTGCCCAGGGGCTGTATCCGCCCCTGGAGATAACACCGTAGCTTAAATCATATTTAACTCTTTATTAGAAAAAGTCATTTTTTTACTTTTGTACATGTAAAATCTTTTAAAAACTAGAAACTAAAATCAAATAGAAGAACTTTAAAAAAATAAAAAATAATAATAAAGATCGCCTTAGGGAAGACAAAAGAGTGGAAAAAAAATCCAACTGTTTACGAATTGGAAAAAAGTGCCTAAATGCGAAGCAAGTCATTTTAGAACACTGCTTTGAGTAATTGATTGAAGTGATATCTCTACAACAGAGTCTTTCAGTCAACTTTTCAGACTATTCTTCAAATGCTTGGCCCAGATTATAGGGTGAATGCTTTAAGAATTATTTAATGCTCTTGAATGTAAGCTTGCCGAAGTGACTCCTCGGAGGACAAACCTCAATTGTTAAGATGAGGCAACCTGTGTTTTCATCCAATGGTAACTACTTCATTTTGGTGGAAAGAATCGCTCCATGTAAGATTGTGAATTATGGACTTTCGTTTTGGTTGAAAAAATCGCTTCATAATCTGCAAAATGCCCCAATTTATTTTTCAATTAAAATTGATTAAAAACAGTGTACACATTATTTAATTGAGCCAGACATTTTCTCCATTTATTTTTTTTCGTTTATCCCTAAGTTTCCTGAAAACCTAAATTCCCAAATCACATATTCACAATTCAAAATCACAATCACAATTCATAAATCAAAATTATATGTCACAACTCATAAATCACAAGTCACAAATTTACAAAAAATAAAAAAAAACCTAAAATCATAGTCACAGTCTCACAGATAATTCATAGCCAGTAGCCAAGCCAACTAAGAACTAGTAGTCTCTAGCAAGTAGCAAATACCTTTTTCAGTTTTTCTCTCAGCCCAGCACTCTAGTCCAGCAGCACTGCTCTGTTCCAACTCCAAGTCCAAGCTCCAGTCCACTGTCCGCCTAGACCACCTCCACACCACAGTCTATCGCCCACCCGAATCTCCACCTCCACAGACCAGCAGAGCTGCAGAAGTCACGAAGCTCGCCTTCCCAGTTCCCAGTTCGCCTGATTCGCCTCTCCCTCCTCCTGGTGATTTTGTTGTGGCTTGTGGGTAATCGGCATTGGGTTTAATGGTAAAGGAAATTGAAATTTAATGGGCAAGGTGTTTGGAAAGAGTGGAAGAAAAAATCCAACTGTTTAGGAATTGGAAAAAAGTGCCTATATGCGAAGCAAGTCATTTTAGAAAACTGCTTTGAGTAATTGATTGATGTGATATCTCTACAACAGAGTCTTTCAGTCAACTTTTCAGACTATTCTTCAAATGTTTGGCCCAGATTATAGGGTGAATGCTTTAAGAATTATTTAATGCCCTTGAATGTAAGATTGCCGAAGTAACGCCTCGGAGGAGAAACCTTAACCATTAAGATGAGGCAGCCTGTGTTTTCGTCCAATGGTAACTACTTCACATCTTCTGATACCAACTGGTGCCAACCCTGTAGCAACGGTGACTACGAAACCCATAAATAGATTGATGCAGAACCCAAGAAAGCCAATTAGATCCGGTTTTGGATTTGAACCCAACAAGGTGATCCAAAAAACCCAACAATAATGGCGATGCGTTGAACCCCTTGATTACACAATGAAGAACCCACGATCCGAAGTTTGAACGCCACAAGATTTGGATCTTGATAAGTTCTATTGATTATTCAATTGAAGAACAAGGAAATCAATAGTCTCTCAATAATAAATTGTCAAAAGTCTTTTACAATGAAAAGTTTTTGGTATTTATACCAAACCCTAGAAATTAGGTAAAAACGTGCAAAATTTCATAAATAAGGTAAGAGATTAACTAAACATAGAATTCTATCAATTATGGAAAATTCACTGAAAAAGGAAATTTTCTTTCAGATTTTGTTCTAAAGCCGCATAGAAGGATTCTATGCGGTCGCATAGAGCAATCAAAATGCCCCTACTTGGTTTCGGTAAATAGGCATGCGATCGCATTTCAGCTTCCACTATGCGGTCGCATAGAAGTAACTTTGGCCTCCGTCTTCGCTTGCTTCTATCACATTGATCCAAATGTTTTCCGACCTCGACCCCAACATGAAACTTGCCCCATTCTTCGTCACGATCACCATATCGTCAACCGTAGCTTGAACAAGTAATACCATTGCTTTTTTCACCAGCTTTGCCCTCGATCGAGTCATTGGTCCTTCTTCCACTAGCAACCGATCCTTCCCTAGACTTGTCCTCGTTTTGATGGTGCCTTGGATCATATCAAAGTGCTTCTTTTAATCCACTGAACCACAATATTAGAGTCAGTTTCAACAATTATATTTCGTATGCCAAGGTCTTTGCACATGCGAAGACCATCAATAAGTGCTCGGATTTCAGCTACCATGTTTGTGCAATTACCGTAATGGTGAGAAAAACCAGCCAGCCACTCTCCCGTACTGTGGCGTAGAAGGCCCCCTCCTCCGGCTAGACCTGGGTTCCCTTTAGATGCGTCATCAATGTTTAATTTTAGCTGCCCACTCTCCGGCGTTTTCCAACTAATCGGGTTACCTTAGCGTGTTTAACTTCGTTAACTGGGCGGTTAAGGGAGCGGAAGCACTGTACATCCAGAGCAAAAAAATTTTTGGCCTTGGATACCAGCCCAGCAATCTGTGACAGTAATGATTTTACTTGCCATATCGCTTTCTGTAATGAAACTGGGTGTCCCTCTATCGGAGCGTCACATTTAATTTTCCACAGAACCCATGTGATAATAACTGGTGCCATACCGCGAAGCACTCCTAGCTACGATGATCTAGAGACCTGTTTCCCCCCATAAGTTTATCATAGCCTTCCAATTATTAACAACTAGGAGAACCATGTTGAAATGGACAGCAAAATGGGACCAGACTTTGTTTGCTAATTCTCCATTACATAGCACATGATTTAAATTTTCCACCGAGGGATTAACGCAACAATTACAATTCGAGACGAGTGGGATTCCAATATTTTGTATCACCTCATCAACTGGTAAACAATTTAACCTAGCTCTTCATGAAACAAATGAGATTCTTCGAGGTACAAGGTGCTGCCAAAGCCACCGTTTCCAAGGACAGGGCAGTCCTTTTTTCCGAATTAATTCCCAGGCAGACTTGGTGGAAAAAGAACCATTGTTACTCGGCTTCCATATATATTGATCATTATCTACAGATAATTGAACACGCACACCTTCCACAACAGCAGCATGGGATTCATCCATCAGCTCTCTAAATCTTTTATCTGTAGTTGTGGTTCCTTCACCTCAAAACCAGCTTCTGCCAAACTTTGGGATCCTATCCAATTATCATACCTGAAATTTGAAGATCCATCCCAAACCTGACAATAAGTGTTTTGCAACACAATATGCAATGCCGTGACCACCCCCTTCCAAAATCGAGAATGTGTGGGAGAATTTCTCAACAAAGCAGCATGTGTGTTTTTCATGTACTTTCCTTGAAAGAATTCAGATCGAAAGGAATTTTCGATCAGTAACTTCCATGCAAACCTCATAAAAAGAGCTTGTTGAACTTCGCCAAAGTCCCATATGCCCAGACCACCCTCCTCTTCTGGGTAGCAGATTTTTCTCCAGGAGACCTACTTCCTTCTCTTGGAGCCATCAGTAACGTTCCATAGAAAGTCTGAAAAAATGCGGTTCAGATCAATATGGACTCCCTTAGGCTGATTCAAAAACTAATAATATGTGAATCAGCATGCTACTAAGAACATGTTTGATTAAGGTGAGTTTGCCTCCAAACGAGAGAAGTTGACCTTTCCAACCCGCAAGTTTCTTTTGGATCTTCACCATCAAAGGTTCAAACATGCCCTTCAATAGCCTTCCTATATAGAGATATGTACATGGAAAGATACCTTCTTTAAATCCTGAGATAGCCAATAGTTTTATTTTACGTATAACCGTGATATGCTTAGAGAAAAACATATAAGATTTCATATGACTCACTTGTTGACCCGAAAACAGTTCATACTTCTTTATAATTTCAAAGATATTGACAATCAACGTTTTCCTACCGTTGGCAAAAATAAGTAGGTCATCAGCGTAAAATAAATGACTAACCATAATACCTCCTGAGTGAAAAAGCTGAACGACAATGCTTTCGAATGCCCTGTTAATCATTCTAGAAAAGAGCTCCTGGGCCAAAATAAACAAATATGGTGACAGAGGATCTCCTTGGCGCAGCCCCCTCGATGGCTTAAAAAAACCCTGTCTCTTACCATTGAGCATGATAGAGTAGTATGGAAAGAAAATGCAGTTAAACACAAGATTTCTCCATTGGTCAGAAAACCTAAACCTCCTTAAACTCTCCACCAGGAATTGCTAATTAACTCTATCATAAGCTTTGGCCATGTCTATCTTCATTAAAGTATTTCCCCCTCTCACCTTCTTGTGAATACTCTACACCATTTCCTGAGCAACAGATATGTTATCGAAGATGCTCCTACCCTGAATGAAGGCTGACTGCTCTCGAGAGATTAACTTGTCAAGTAGAGGAGATAGTCTAGCAACCATCATTTTGGACAGGATCTTGTACACCACCGAACATAGACTAATGGGTCTAAACTTCGCAAAACTATTAGGGGATTCCACCTTAGGAATCAGAACAATGTTAGTTGTCCCCAGCCCACAAGTTAGGGGATAGCCTCCAAAATATTCTTTGGCCACGGCTAAGAGATGAAACTGGACAAACTCCCAAGCCGTAATAAAGAAACTAGCACTAAAACCATCATGTCCTGGGCTGCTATCTTTGGGGATAGACCATAGGGCAGCTTTAACCTCCTCCAAAATAGGTGGTTTACACAATGCTCTATTTTCCTCATCCATGATGATTGGTTGCAAGAGTTCTAGATAATTAGCATCCATGGAGATAGGTGAAATAGAGAATTTTTTTTTGAAAAAACTGTACAACCCCCTCATGTATATCATTAGGTGTCTTTAACTCCCTACCATCCTCAAGCACCATTCGGTCGACAACTTGTCTCTTGTTTTTATTTTTAACACATGCATGAAAAAATTTGGTATTACCGTCCCTCTCTTTCAGCCATTTAATCCGAGATTTTTGCCTCCATAAAGCTTCTTCCCTATCGAACCACACATCATATTGATTTTGACATTGTAGGAGCTGAATTTCTGTTTCCAATGAGAAACTTTCCATCAGAGAGTTTTCCAGTAGCATCAACTTATTTTCAAAAGATTCAATCTCCTATTGCACCCTTCCAAATACCTAAACATTCCAAGTTTTTAATGCTAGTTTCAGAGTCCGCAATTTTCATCTAAGACACACCATAGGAGAACCCATCATAGTTATATACCAGACTCGTTTCACCAAAGGCATAAAATCTTGATGAGAACACATAGTTAAGAATCGAAAAGGTCTGGGGCCAGTTAAATTCGAGTGGTCTTTACAATGTAGAACCATTGGGCAATTGTCCGAAGAAGTGCGTTCCAAGTAAGATAGTGCAACTGAAGGGAAGTGGGTTTTAAATTTTTGATTTACCAGAATGCGATCCAGGCGAGCCCAAATACATTGCGTGCCCTGACGTCCATTACACCAAGACAATTTCGGACCATCAAAAGGAATGTCCATAAGCCTTGAGTCATGAATAAATTAATTAAATTCCCGCATAGACATAACAGGTGTGGGCAGACCACCTAATTTCTCAACATTAAACTGAACTGTGTTGAAATCCCCTCCTACTAACCATCCATCTTTGCCATAATCTAGGTTTTCAATTGGTTCTATAGTTCTCTTCTACGTCTTTGACAGCAATTTGCATATATAAAAGAATAAAATACCCAGTTACAACCAACTAAGACCCAACTAGAGATATATTGGTGTGAACTATTGCACACTGAAATAGTCAACTCGTTATTCCAAAACATCCAAATTTTTCCCCCTTCCTCTATGTTAGACCTATAATGTGGAAATCTTAAATGTCACGCCCAAACTCCTACTCAATCAATCGAAACAAAAGGTTCAAGGACAACTAACAACTAAAGATTAAATTGTTTTTTCAGCTCCATAAATCTACTTTTAGAGTAACCCATCCCTTGGCATTCCAAACAATGATATTCATGTTTAATAAGATTTTTTGGACCTTGTGGTGATCCCTAGCTTTACCTTTCTCCGTCCAGTTCCCCTACCTCTTTTAAATGGTACTATCCTCATATGATCTGTGTCGTAATTCAGGATCTCTAATTCAGGCAATTCACTTTCATACTCCCCTTCAGATGAAATTTGAACCTCATTTTCTGTAATCTCAGTTTGCACACAATCCACATTTGGCGAAGTTTAGGGAAGAGGCTCCCCCCTAAGTACAAGCTCTGTAATATCGTCCATGACATTCATAACAAGCATATCATGAACTACTTCAACATCACCCTCCACAATAGCCTTATCCAAAATTATTTCATTGGAGCACATATTGACCTTCAATGTGCCACTAGTAGTCCAATTTCTGTCAAACTCTGAACTTTTACCGGAATCTGTTTTATCTACCGTTGAACCGGTACCTATATTCTCCATTGGAGAATTTTCTCCCACATCATCCAGATTAGTAAAAATTTTACCATCGTCGCGACTAAATAGAATAACATCCGAAAGATTAAAGATGTTACGCTGCACAATCCTGTTTTAGCTGCTTTTCCATAGGCAGCTCGGTCGTATACCTCTATCATCCTTTTTCGCCATATCCTTTTCGACCGAACGTTCTCAGGGATCTTACTTTCACCAATGTCCTTTTTCTTCTTGTATCCCATCTCCAAGTGGCCTATAGTGTTACAGAACTTACAATAGGTTGGGAGTTTTTCATATATGACTTCCTGATATCTGTTGGTGGGATGGAAAGGGACACCCAGCCAGAAAGAATCCACCAAGGGCTTGGAAACATCAATCTCAACACAAACGCGAGCCCTATCTGTGCGCGACGCACAAGCCGTGAAATTGTCCCTTTTCAAAAAACATCCAAAAGCACCTGTGATAATGCGCAACATAGATTCGTGATAAAAATGGGGAGGTAGACTGGGAAGAAATACCCATACAGGGATTAAAGAGGATTATCTGTCTTTATCAGCTAGTTCAATGCTTTCTTTAGTAGTGGGAAAATCATCTACGTAGTGTTTGATGCATTGTCCTTTAATCTTGAAATTTCGCTTAGTTGGGTGGTGTAATTCAACTGTACCGTAGGGAAACACTTGGGATACTGTGAAAGGTTAAGACCATCTTGATTTCAATTTTCCTGGGAACAACTTAAATTTGGAGTTGTACAAGAGCACTTGATCTCCCACTCTGAAAATTTGTTGTCAAATATTGTTGTCATGCCACTGCTTCGTCTTTTTTTGTAGATGGATACATTCTCATAAGCTTTTCTTCTAACTTTTTCCAATTCGTAAAACTGTAATATTCTTGTTTCTCCGGCCTTTTTTAAGTCTATGTTCAACTGTTTCAATGCCCAGTATGCTTTGTGCTCAAACTCAATTGGTAGGTGGTAAAATTTCCCGAAAATGATTTGGTATGGTGACATTCCAATCGGCATCTTGTAAGCGGTGCGATAGGTCTATCAAGAATCGTCCAATTTTTTGGACCTATCTTTTCGAGATGCATTCACGGTGAATTCCAAAATTCTTTTCAACTCTCTGTTAGAAGTTTCAACTTGCCCACTTGTATGATGGTGATAGGTTGTGGCTATTTGATGTTGTACCCCGTATTTAGCAAGCACTGCCTAGAATAACCTATTGCAGAAGTGAGTTCCACCATCACTTATGATGGCTCTTGGAGATCCATAGCGGTTGAAAATATTTTTCTTTATAAAATCTACGACTACCCTCGCATCATTGGTGGGTAATGCCTTTGCTTCCACCCATTTGGAGACGTAGACCATGGCCACTAGAATATATCAATTGTTATAAGATGATGGAAAAGGTCTCATAAAATCAATTTTCCATACATCAACTAGTTTCACCTCCAAAATGTTGTTTAGTGGCATATTGTAACGAGTCGATATAACTGTTCGTTGACACTTATCACAAGATCTGTAGAAACTGTGGCAGTCCTTAAATAATGTTGGCCAAAAGAAACTGCTTTGAAGTACCTTCACTGCTGCCAAAATGTCCTCCATAAGTTGAAGCATGAACCCGTAAAAGGATCGATTTCATCTCATCCTCTGGCACACATCTCCTGATAATTTAGTATGCCCCTCTTTTATATAAATTTGGGTAATCACAATAATAGAATTTTGCTTCATGGAGAAATTTCTTCTTCTGTTAATAGGTAAGATCTGGATCCACAAATTCACTCGCTAAGTAGTTAACAATGTCCACGTACCAAGGAGCCTTTTCCAATTGCAATAACTGCTCATCAAAAAAAACTTCATTGATATCCACATCATCTAACTCTTTCAACTGCTCTAGCCTCGATAAGTGATCCGTTACCTAGTTTTCTATCCCCTTTTTATTACGAATTTCAATGTCGAACTCTTGCAGTAACAGAACCCATCGAATCAACCTGGGTTTAGCATCTTTCTTCTCGAATAAATACTTCAAAGCTGAATGGTCTATGTAGACTATCACCTTTGAACCAATTAGATAAGAATGAAAGTTGTCGAAGGCAACTACTACTGCTAGCATTTCCTTTTCAGTTGTGGAGTAGTTGATTTGAGCATCGGTCAAAGTTTTCCTGGCATAGTAGATGACATGTAAGACCTTTCGCTTTCATTAACCTAGCATTGCTCCCACTGCGAATTACTGGCATCACAAATGAGCTCGAAAGGTACTTCCCATTCTGGTGCCACTGTAACAAGTGCAGATGTTAACTTTTCCTTCGAAGCGTTAAAAGCATTTAAACACTCATCAGAAAATATAAATGGTACATCATTCTCAATAGATTGCACAGAGGTTTTGTAATCTTTGAGAAGTCCTGGGTGAATCGTCTGTAAAATCCTGCACGTCCCAAAAAGCTCCTAATCCCTTTGACTAAGGTAGGTGGTTGCAATTTTTCAATCACCTGTATATTTGTACAGAGGTTTTGTAATCTTCGAGAAGTCCTGGATGAATCGTCTGTAAAATCTCGCATGGCCTAGAAAACTTCGAATCCCTTTGACCGAAGTAGGCAGCTGCAATTTTTCAATCACCTGTATCTTTGCTTTGTCGACCTCAATACCCTGTGAAGAAATCTGATGTCCCAGCATTATACCCTCTTTCACCATAAAATGGCACTTCTCCCAATTGAGCACTATATTCTTCTCTTCACACCTTTTTAATATGAGCGATAAATGTTCCAAGCAGCCATCAAATTAATCTCCAAATACTGAAAATTCATCCATGAATACCTCGATGTGCTTTTTTACCATGTCGAAAAATATGGCCATCATGCATCGCTGAAAGATTGCAGGTGCGTTGTACAGACCAAAATGCATTCTTCTAAAGGAAAAAGTATCGTAGGGACATGTCAAGGTTGTTTTCTCTTAGTCTTCTGGAGCAATGGCTATATTATTGTACCCTAAATATTCGTCTAGAAAATAGTAATGAGAATGACCTGCTAACCTCTCCAACATCTGGTCAATGAAGGGCAATGGAAAGTGATCTTTTCTGGTGGCATTATTTAGCTTCCTATAATCTATACACACTCTACATCCCATTACTAAATGTGTTGTTATCAACTCATTGTTCTCGCTCTTCTCTACTGTAATTCCACCATTTTTAGGTATCACATGTACTGGACTCACCCAAGAACTATTTGAAATTGAGTAGATAATCCCTCATTAAGCAATTTCAACACTTTTTTTCTCACTACTTCCTTCAAGGTTGGATTTAATCTGCGCTGACCTTCCACGAATGGCTTAGACCTGTCCTCTGTTAATATTTTGTGCATACAAAGAGCAGGACTGATTCCTTGAATATCAGTCTTGAGCTTTCGGAGTATCTCCAATAACTTATCTTCCTCCTCTTCTATCATGTCATTCACAATGATCGTTGAAAGTGTTGTAGAGTCTTCCAAATATGCATAACGGAGATGGAGCCCTCTCCACTGAAGGTACGGGTGGTGTGAGATTGGAACCAAGAGACTCATATTGTCAATATCTCTTTCCAATTGGTTGTTCGGCTAAATGTACAGTACATTTTGTGCTCTCTGCATTTGTTGCCTCTGCTAGAATGGTTAGATGTGTTGCATCTAATGTATCGGTCACAAGCTCATCAAGCACATCCACTTGGCAACAAGTATGTGAAGTTAATAGGTGTTTCATTGCCTTGAACACATTGAATATGACCTGCTCATTGTCCACTCGAAGAATTATTTTTCCATCATATACATCAATAAGTGCTCTCCCGGTAGCCAAGAAAGGTCTTCCCAAGATTAACGGAATATTTGAATCTTCTTCCATGTTCAAGATAATGAAATCTGTTGGGAAGATGAACTTATCAACCGTGACTAGCACATCTTCAATAATTTCCTTTGGTCTTTTGATAGACCTATTAGCCAATTGCAATGAGATTGTTGTAGGTTTAGCTTCTCCCAATCCAAAAGACCGGTAAACAGAGAGTGGCATTAAGTTAACACTAGCAACTAAATCACATAAGGAATGCTCGAAATAATTAGAACCAATAGTGCACGGTGTAGTAAAGCTCCCTGAGTCCTTTACCTTAGGAGGTAGCTTTTTAAAGATGATTACACTGCATTCCTCGTTCAGGTAGACAGTCTCATGTTCTTCCAGCTTCCTCTTGTTGGACAAAATTTCTTTTAGAAATTTTGCATAACTGGGCATTTGTGCTATTGCATCTGCAAAATGGATGTTCATGTGCAATTTCTTGAAAACCTCCACAAATTTGGCAAATTGTTTATCTAACTTCTTTTTCTACAACTTTTAAGGAAAGAGAATTGGTGGTACATAAGCTTTTATGGGACTTGGTGCTCTTAGTGTAGAATTTTATTTTCTCTCATCATCCTCTTTTTCAACTGGTGCTACTTTTTCCTCATCATGAGCATCTTCAACTTCTATCTTTTTATCTTTTTTGTCTGGCCTCTTCACGTGTATCTCTGGTAATTGTACTCCACTTCTAGATGTAATAACTTGCACTTGCTCCTTTGAGTTTATCATTGTATTGCCTGGTAATGTCCCTTGTTGGCATTCTGCAAGCTGTTGAGCTATCTGACCAATTTGTGTCTCCAATTTCTTGATCGAAGCCTGCTGATTCTGAAAATTTATGTAAATTTATTGGAATACCTTGTCTGTTTTCTGCATATAATGATTGAACATCTTCCCAAACTTGGTTGTTCTTCCTGCTGGGCATTAATTGAACAATTCCCTTGCTGCTTATCTGACCATCTGAAGTTTGGGTATTGTCTCCATCCTGGGTTATATGTTTGTGAATATAGGTTAAAATTGTGGGAGTCATTCTGAATGAAGTTGACTTGTTCCTCAAGAAAGCCCATAGACATACAGTTTCATGTCAAATGGTTATCTCCACAGTTTGGGCATGACGGACCATCCATCACTGCATGTGCTCCTCTCGTTTGTGATTTCACCAATAGTTGTACCTGCTTTGTCAAAGCTGCTATCTACGTGTTGATGGATGTTGTACTATCTAATTCATACATCTCAGATGCTCTCGGTGGTACCACTCTTTCTCATGAAAATATTGAATGTATAGTGGCAATTAACTCAAATAAATCCATGGTTTATTGTACCGATTTTCTTATGATCGATTCACCGGTAGATGAATCCGCTTGAGATTTTGACGGCGGTGAGAGTCCGGTGTAGAAGTATTGAACTTGATTTCCTATTGTAATTCCATGATTTGGACACTTTCGCATCAGCTTTTTGAATTTGTTTCATGCCTCGTGATAGCTCTCTCCATCTTTCTATTGGAAAGTTTGAATTTTTAATTTGATTTTAGCTACTTTTGTCGGTGGGAAAAATTTGTTGCAGAATTTTCTGATCAGTTCTTACCATATAGTAATGCTTCCATGAGGTTCGGCGTCTAATCAGTCCAATGCAGAATCTCTTAGTGTATATGGAAATAGTCGCCACTTAATAGCATCTTCATTAAGCCCCAGAGCGTGAAAGTTCTGATAATTTCTAAAAATTTTGGAGCTATGTGTGTCCGGATTTTCACGAGGTAACCTGTAGAATTGGAAAGTGTTGCTCATCAAATTAATCCATTATGTCCATATCTGAAAATTATTGACCCCGAAATCTGGATACACAATCTTGGAGCGCGCATGCGCGGCTATGGGCGTCGAGAACAATGAAGCTCCTGCTGCTGATCTGGTAGTGCTGCTACTCTTGCGGCCACTTGTCCATTTGGCTGAATAGGAATATGAATATTTTGACCGTCAGCCATTTGATTTTTTGTTTGTGTTCCTTACGTATTCTTCTGAAAGTACGTTCTATTTTCTAGTCAAACGGTTCAAAATCGTCGCCTTGGGTACAGAGCATACAATGAACACTTTTTTTATAAAAGAAAGTAAAATCAAATAACCGATCAAAAATGAAATAACCTAAGACTAAAAGTAAACAATCCGCAGCACCGGCGCCATAGTTAAAGATAAAATAAACTAAGACTAAAAGTAAATAGTCCCCGGCAGCGGCGTCAAAAACTTGTTACATTTTTTTATATTGCAAGTATACGATATTGTAACAAGTAGTATAGTGGACCCTTGAATCCGGATATCATTCCCACGAAAACTATACTTTAGTACTTAATCTAATTTTTCTAACTCCCATTTGACAAAATTGAGTAAATAATTATGATGACTGTGATTATTTTTCCTAACTACTTTTAATTAATTGAAAATATAATAAGATTGCA